AGCAGAGGAAGAGCAATATTCTATAAAGTTTTATATCATGATGTCCAAATTTCTGATCAATAACTGTATCTCACCCTGGAAGTATAGCCATTTGCTATTGCTTCAAGATATAATTTAAGTCTCAGACCAGAAAGTAGTCTAGGGGAAGCATGGTATGTTAAACAGCTAAAGACAACATGGGTACACAAAACTCACTTGGACCAAATATACAACCAAGCATGCCAAGGCCCAGGTGGCATCCAGCCATCCCTTGTTTAGAAAAATAAGTTTAATTTGAATTACTGGAGCACTGGGTTTTGCGGTGATGCATTTCTCAGTGAATTGTGGGGGATGGAAAGAACTTAGTCCAAGATGGTTGAGTTGCAAAAGTATTTGCTGTCCGATTTAGAATTTGAAAGTAATCTTTGTCAGAAATTTCCATATAATTGTTCCATATTCAAATTAAACCTGCTACATTTTCTATTCCCTGCATCGCTGATTGAATCAATCTGCAGATGAACATTCCGTTTCTCTCCCGTTTGATTTATTCTGTCCATTTTTTAAGGTATATCAAACAGCACTGCAAGTCACAATGGAAAAGGCACAATATCTGCAGAGAAAACGCAAGCGTTCATAAACCACCAAAGCGTGTTCTTGATTTTAGAAATCCCAGAGGGCCTATGTCTTCAAAGAAGATTTGTTCTACACATATAAACTTCATTCGTACATATTTAATTGTGATCTCATTCGCTATAAAGAAAATGCTTCATCAGCTCTGATTTCCTTCCGATGTTTCAGTCCCACTTTATTAACATTCTTGGTTTCTGCTTCACAGGATTTTCAGTCCAAACTAGAAAAGCACTCTGCTTGTACTTCAGGGTTATAGGTGGAAATGAAACTCTTTTCTAGTCTCAAAGTCCCCATTTTAAGGCAAGGAAATAAAACCTTCCAAGAAGGGTGGTTGAATATAGCGCCAAACTTGCCTTTTGCTCTTGGGTTTAACGCACGGGACTGTGCATAATTATTAGAACAGCATTTATATAAAGCCATGCCAGCGAAACTAGCTTTGCCAAGTTTATCATAGACTGCTACAGGCGCCATCTCAAAGAAATCCACATGTGCTAATATGAAATAGGAATTTTTGTAATTTTTATTGTGCCTTCTGGGGAAAAACATCTTTCCTCACGAAAAGATACTTCATCATTTTTTGATTTTAAAAATGTTTTTCTATTCTAAAGAATTAAAAGTTCCACTCTTATTTCTGTGGAGAATCAAGTTATCAATCAATTATTTAAATCTGAAAGATGGCAAGAATAGAACAATTTAACTGCTGAGCCAGAATCCCAAGACAGAGGGACCCTGGTGGCATTATTGTTCCTGCTTATTTTTAAACATATTGTGACATTATTTGTAATTTATTAAATGGGATTAAAACTGCTCAGGAGATTCCATGATGAACTGATGGAAGTATTTGAAAATAAAAATGACCATTTCTTCAGTTCTGAAAAGCAATTCAATTCCTTCATTAAAAGCAGAAATATTTAAATTATAAATTCTCAAGTTACCTTGACTTTCAAGGTGCAAAAACACATATGACCTTATTTTATGATTTCATTTTTTAAAACTGATTAAGAGTCTTCAATAGAGGGAAAATGTGGTATTTATTATTTAAAAAGTACTTTTAAAATTCTATAATTTGCCCAGCTATTAATTCCTAGGAAAAAAATAATGGCTTCCTTTTAATGAACACCTATGTTCCAGGCATTTCATTTTGGTGTGAACCCCATCCAATGTAATTATCATCAATTTACAATACACGTAAGTAGAAATGCAAACCACTAGGTCATGTACTTAGGTCATTGCTGGAGCTATGATCTAAATCTGGACTGCTCTGATTCTGGTTTGGCTCCACTGCCCCTTTCTAGGGAAAAAAAAGTAGATTTATCAGTTAGTGCCCAATTGTGTAGACCCTAATAAAATCACCACAGCTAAACTTAAGTTGGAGATAATTTACATTTTATCCAAATATAATGGAAGAAGAATGTATTGAAATATTTCTAAAATTCACTAAAAATAGCCATAAGTTTAAAAGAAAGTTCTATTAGAAGTATATGAATTTACAAAAATAACTCTGAAGAACAAAGGAGAACATAGTAGAGCTATGTATGAAGGGAGGATGATTAAATATGTGGTTAAATTAAATTTTATTACACCCACTCTTTTTAGGGATTTAGGAGAATCATGACAGTCAGTCCAGAGACTTTCTTTGAATATGAGGACCATTAAAGTCCTGGGTAGGCACTCAGTACCGGGCAAAATCTTAGTAGGGTTTCACACTCAAGAAAGCCCCTTCACCTGATGAAACTGGTGAATGACTTTCAGCTAGAAGAAAAGGAGTGGCCTAACCAGGAAAGCTTAGTAGAGTTTGCTGTGTGTGCATGTGCTAGTCAGCTTTCCGTTGTTATAATAAATGCCTGAGATGCTCAGCTTGCAAAGAGAAGAAATTTATTTTGGCTTATAGTTTGAGAGGTCTAAGTCAGTTAACCCTTTTGTTTATGGGCCTGTGGCAAGGTAGCACCTCGTAAAACACAGCTGCAAGCCTCATGGCCCGAAAGCACAAAAGATACAAGACTGAGGTTTTCAAATCCCTCTCAAGTTTGCACTTCAAATAACCAGAAATCTTATCCCTAGGTACCACCTCTTAAAGGCTTCAGCTCCTCTTAATAACATCATGGGCTGGAGACCGAACCTTTAACACATAGACCTTTGAAGGACACTGAAGATAAAACAGGAGCATGTCTGTCCCCCATAAGAGGGGAGACCTGACACAGTGCCACTTCTGTATCTGATCTAAGTCATTCTCTGAAAGTATTCCACCGAGGTTAGACTACTACTAGCCCAGAGCAACCACACAGATGAAAACTTCACCTACTCAAACTAGGGAATGAATTCTCTACATAGCATAGAACAAGGCATGGTCTGCCTAGAAGGTGCTGTAGAAGACATCATAGTGACAGAAGGGAGAGACTCCCAACTGCAGATCCCCACCTAGGAGCAGAATAAAGGCAGATGGATTGTTTTTCTCAAAATTGACAGTAAGGAGCTTTATTACCAGAAATAATTACTGGAATATATTCGTCTGCCAACTTTGAATTCTTTTGATAAAAACGCATCCTACCTGAGACTATTAAGATATGTGAGTGGCTCACTGGGCAAGGGTCTTTAATATTATGGATATCAGTTTATGTTCCAAGAGATATCAGTGATACATTCTTCATCTCTCCTCAGCTTGAGGAGCTTTCAAGAAGGTTATAATAGTTGTGAAAACACAGAAGTAGGAAGCAGAATCAAAATGTGAAAATGCTCAAAAACGTACTAATTCATTTTCCTCTAGATTCTTTAACTTGATGGCCAAGACCTCTATGATGTCCTCTGCCCTGTATCTCCGTGCTGAGGTTACCTTTTCTCCTTCAGGCACTTACTGATCCAAAAGCAATTGCAAATTTACATTACCATCACCAGATTCTCTCAGCTGAGTTATTCCCAAGCTCATTTTTTAAATGTCTCAGTGTAACCTATGCTCAGATCATCACCATTTTCAACACTGCAATGTCAGCATTCACCAATACCCTGGCAAAGAACAACGCATCATTCCTAACACCCTAACAGGACAGGGGTCTGTGACATTGAAAACAAGAGCAACTTGAATTCATTTCGAATCATAGAAATCACACTAACTAGCTCATGCGCATGTAAAGTCAGTTGCGTAAAATTATTCCAAAATCTGAATCTGTCTCAATGTGAGATCTTACAAAAAGACCTCTAAAGTCCCATAGTGCTTGACCTAGAAAATCAAGATAAAGTATTTTGCAGTCTGTCTCACAGGAAAACAAAATGGAAGAAAGTTTGTACACAAAACTCTTCAGTATAGAGTTTATGCAAAGTACCACCACAGAACCAAGCAGAAAAGCCAGTGCCATCCCCACATCAGGCTACCCTGCTTCATTAACACAACTTGCAAAAAGAAAGACGATTAACTGTATATGACTAACCAGGCCAATTTGTAGCCCACAGGCATTTTCTGCTTTGTACATGCACAGATAAACACACTGTTCCAGGCAGAAAATTAAGCCACAGTTTTAACCGATTTTGTTCTGTCCTGCAGACCTGGTGTCACTGAAAGTCTTACACTGCAGCCAGTCATCTGACAGCTTACAACTACTCTGCTCTGCTTTTGTTTGCGCTGAAGCTTGGGATTATGTTGCTTTCAGGCCCAGTTCCAGTTTTCTTGTTTTGGTTTTAAACTTTCTTACAATGAATGAATCACTGAGCCGGATATTACCTAAGGAACAAAATTCAGAACTAGTTTCCAGTTCCATGTAGCTAATTATTATTTTTCTTAACTACTTAACTCCCTAACCATAGAAATGCTTGCTCAACAGTGGATATGATTTTTTCACATATCAAGCACCCAATTTCTTTAAATAGTAGTATCCAGAGTTGACAGTGATACAGCCAGAATAAAATATTATATTAATATAATTAATAATTACTATTATATTAATGAAGTATTACATTAATATATAATATTAACATTTAATATGATATATTATTCAATAATGTAATATGATGTATTATCTTATTGAAACTTAGAAAAAATATGATACCCACTGGATCTGGTAATTCTATTACTAGGAATTTATCCTAGTAAAATAATCAGTGAGGCAGACAGAGATATACAAATGATGAGAATCCTCAGAAAGCCACATGTAATAGGGAAACATCAGGAATCAATGAATAACAGGAATCAGAACAGTGAGTCGTGGTGAGGATTGTTTCTAAAATTAATAGATATTACTCCTTAAACTAGTTTCGCATGCTACATCATATTTAAAATACCTTGCACGTTTTTACGCAATCTCAAATTGTTGTAATACAGAAAAACATCTGTATTATAGTTAAATTCTACTCTGTGACAAATACACTCAAAATCCAAAAACAAAGACATTTGGAAAACTCACGTAAAAAAATCCGAGAGGTCCAGATATATACGGAATTTTTATTCCCAAAAGATACTTGACTTGCGAAGTCACCACATGGGTGGCAGCCCCGGTTGTCATCGCGCTGATCACGGGCTCCGTAAGCAGGAACGTGGCACTGCCCAGTTGTAGCACAAACATGGCCACCTACGGGGACAAAGGAAGCGTCAGATGATATTTTCGGGTGAAAGTTCTCAAGGTTCTCAGGGGAACCAGTATCTCACACATTTTCTTCTTCAGCTGACAAAGGCACAGCAATCTAATGTGGAACATGTACACAGCAAGTATGTTAGGTTTTCTTCAGAACATTACTAGGTTTTTGGACTTTCCAAACATTACAGGACTCTCTGGACTTGCATCAATTCAAATTAACTTCTTTCTGTGAATGTTGACTTTTTTTCTCCTTTCTCAATCCTACATGTTAAAAGGGAGTTGTGAGCAGAAAATATACTCAAGTCAGTCAACACGCGGATATGCAAGAAAAATCAATTTGCATTACTACATCTGTAATTTTAAAAGTATAAAATGATTCACTATTTTATACCCAATAGACTTAAAAATCTCAAAATCACTGATGAAAAGAAGCAATTTTTAAAGTTTTTCCCAAAGTTCTAAAAAATAGGAACAAGCCAAGCCAAGCATGGTGGCACACACCTGTAATCCCAGCCCTCAGAAGGCTGAGGCAGGAGGATCACCATGCGTTCAAGGCCAGCCTGGGCTATAAAGTGAATTCAAAACCAGCCTGAACTGCATAGCAAGAGCCAGCCTCAGAACAATCAAGCAAGCAAGCAAGAAAGATACTATTTGAACAGAGAGTCTGTCATACATCTCTAACAGGGTAATATTTAGTAAGAAGATACCAGGACATATTTGTATATGGGGAAGACCATAATGCAAAGATCAGAAAAAAGGGCACGTCTTACATATCTTAAAAATCAAAACAAAAGTAATTTTCTTAACACGTTTTCTTACTACTCCTAACATTACCCTGCAAAGCAAAACTATTTCATGACCAGATAAAAGCATCTTGTTTGAGTAGAAACTGCATCGAGCCCTGCTGCAAGAGGTGGCAAAAAGAACCAAAACCTTCTCGTCCTTGTCACCTCGATAGTAAGTGTCCTTTGCAGTAAGACTTTTCAGATGGTCCGCTGTTGGAGTTACAAATGTATAACTGCAGTCCTATAAGTCACAAAAAATAAAGCTTGCGATTTTGAAAGTAACATCACATCACATTTATGAGCATCCACGCTGGAAAAGGAAAAAAAGGAAGGTCATGCGCTAATTATGTATTAATTATAATATTTAGGTCAGGTCTTAAAATTCTTGTTAGAAAATGAGATTAACTATTACAGCAATCAGTTGAAAGAACAGCAGTGAGGTCTCCTTCCATCGAAAGGTTACAGTGTTGAAAATGAGAAGTGTAAAATGCTGCCTGGTACCACAAGAACATAAATTGCAAAATATATCATTTTTATATAGTGATCATATTCCAGTGCCCTCAGCCAAAAGCAATAATGCTTTAGGTTTATACTGGAGTTTCAGCCAGACGTGCTGGCCCACGCCTGTAATCCTAGCTAATCAGGAGGTTGGGGCAATAGGATCAGAAGTTTGAGGCCAGCGTGTGCAACTGGTGAGACCCTGTTTGAAGACAAAATAAAAAGGGCTGGGGAAGTGACTTAGCATGAGAGTGAAAGCCTAGCATGTGCAAGGCCTTTCCTGGGGTCACTCTGCAAGACCCCCAACACACACATACACACACACACACATACACATACACATACACATACACATACACATATAGGTGGAATTTCCTGATCTAAATGTGAAACCTAGATTCTGATCTTGGCTCCACTAAATCCTAGCTTTGTGACTATAAAATTGACTGAAATACTCATTGTCATCTATAGATTCTATGAGTGCTGTCTGCCCTATTTATCTAGTAAAGCTGTGGTAAAGTGAATGTGAAATAATATATGAGGGTCTAAAACCTGTAAAATGGGCAACATGCGTGATAAAGTAGGAACAGCATGAGGTATTATACCCATTTACCCAGTCTGGGATACCAGCCATTAATTTTGAAAATGTAGAAAGGACCACACCACATTTTACAGGTCTGGGAAACTTCAGAATTTATCAGTGCAGAAAGAAATATACATAGTTTATAGCTTAGCAGCCATATTCCACTCACTATGTAATAAAGAGCATGGATTATCAATGTGGGAATCAACCTGTTACTACCAACATAAGAAGGCAAGGGCTAGGTGGGCTAGGTGGGCAAGTTGGCACGTGCCTGTAGTCCCAGCACTCACGAGGCTGAGGCAGTAGGATTGCTGTGAGTTCTAGGCCAGCGTGTGGTACATAGTGAGTCCCAGGCCAGCCTAAAGTGTATAGTGAGACCCTACCTCAAAAACCAAGACAACAGCAAAGAAAAAAAAGAAAGAGGAGGAGAGGGAGGAGGAGGTGGGAGAGGGGGCAAGGGCTACGAGTTCTGGTCCTAAAAAGTTTTCAGAAACTGTGTGTCAGTTTGTCAAAGTAGAACTGTTCTGAAGGAAATACCCAAGCAACCAAATACTGTATATGGTTACAAAACAGACATAGTGAGCTTTTAGAAAACTTTTGGTTCAGTTCTGTTGGTTTTCATTATGAAGTCACAGCCGATTAAGAAAAACAATGAATCAATTATTCCTAAGTATCTCTCTACTGGTAAATGCACTGCAATTTATAATATTGACTACTATAGGGCATGAGGATGAAATTAGCAGATTACTGGGGCAGGATGCACTCCAGAGTTGAGTTTTCATTAATCTAAAGGCAGCATACAAGTAGTCCGCATCTTTAAAACTATGAAAACTGTTTGCATACATCAAATTTTATGTACCTTGTACATGGAATGTTGGAAAGTTTTTATTTGTATATTAAGCAATCTTATTATTTTGAGAAATAAAGCTGTGGAAAGGCCTTGTGCAGACTTTCTATTTCTCACTCCTTTTCAATCCTACACTGAAGGGTTAATGATTTGCCATGCCTGAGGAAACTGAAGTGTCACCATCTACAACTCACTACATCATTAACTTCTAGTAGCAGTTTCTTTGTCATTTTGCCAATGTAAAATTTACAAATGGAAGTGTCTAGAAAAAGTACAATCTACAAAAAGTAAAAGATATAAAAGAGTTCTGTCATCTCAAGTGCTGAAAGTATGAGAAACTATCCTGCCACAAACATGCAAAAAAGTGGAGCATCCTCTTTTAAAATACCAACATCTTGACATATTTTTGTAATGTTCTACTTGTACACAGTTTTATGCTTTTAGAAAATACTCCCAGCAAGGGATAAATACTTAAAGTGAAGAGTTCTTGACTTCAAGGTCAGCCGGTTCTTTAAGATCTCATTTCTGACACAGACCACTGGGACGTGAATGGTGACTGCAAAAATGTGAGATTTAGTTGAAAAATGTCGCTTTTCTGGTATGCAGCCTTCTCTACGGCCCAAAACAATGGCACATACTTTAGGGAAGGTGAGGAGCCAAAGAAGGAACATGACGTGAAAGAACAGGAGGAGGAGCAGGAGGACAATTTTAAGAGCTCCCTGTCTTCCTGTTGTCCAAATTTCATGTTTATTTACATTGAAATGAGGGACCTGGCTAGAGACTGATGTTCACAGCTGAAGGTACTAAGTACTCAAGCAGTGCAGGTTTTGCAAGAGGAGCCTGCAGATGGAACCGTACCTTCAAACTTACATATGTAAAACGGGGATCCTCTCAAGTATTTTTTGCTTGGAAGCCTACTACTTAAATTTTATATTAATATTAAATATTTTAAGCAATCTATTTCACAAACAGCCATAAAAACTCCTTTTACTAATAATATAGACAATAGTGATTTCACCATGGTAAGTAACTCCCCAAAGCTAGCCGTGAAACATTTTATGAGAAAATAAATTTTATATATTTCAGATGTTTATAGTAATGCTGATGTTCTGGGCTAATGCTGCAAACCTCTGACATACATTATCAAGGTTCACTAGCATGATACTATTTGGAAATTCTGTATAAACACCATGTGTTCTACATAAATTGAGTGTATCTCAGCTTTCAGGCCATTCTTTTTTTTTTTTTACAAGAGGCTTTCAGATATATTTTTAAATGAAAGAGTGGATAAGAGAGAATTATATTTCCAAGTAGATGGAATATACTTTGCATTTCAGGTTACGTTGGTTTGTTTGCCATCTCTTTCATTGTATCAAATCACGCATTTATCCATCTGACAGGTGTTCATTAAATACCTTCTAGGGGAGAGGTATAGCATTTTTGTTGCAGAATATAGATATAGAGGTTGCACCTTAAAGATTATATACAAAGAGGTGAAATGATGGTGTTAGGAGGGCAGATTGTTCACTGGGATCCTAAAAAAGACTAAAACAGGTACTTGGAAGGTAAAGTCTGGAAAGCTGTTTGCATGGAACATGAAAAACTAAAAGGAGCTATGGTGTTTGCTGATCAGCTCTACAGGTGGAGCAGAGACTTAAATTGCTCATGAGGTGAAGAAAATAACTGCATGCTGCACAAGGATAGGAGACAAGGTTTCTATGTGAGCAGAGGCCTTAAAAGAAAAAATATCAAATTAATAAAAGCCTCGAGTTTATCTTTCTTTACAGCTGAGTAATATTCCATTATATAAAAGTACCACAATTTTCTTATCCAATCCTCAGTGGATGGACATTTGGGTTGCTTCCACATTTTAGCAATTACAAATTGTGCTGCTATGAACATGGGTGCACATACATCACTGTGATATAATGTTTTTAGATCTTCTGGGAAAATACCAAGCAGGGGGATAGCTGGGTTGAATGGGACCTCTAGGCCTAGTTTTCTGAGGACTCTCCAAACTGATTTCCACAGTGGTTTCACCAGTCTGCATTCCTACCAGCAGTGGAGAAGGGTTCCTATTTCTCCACAGCCTCGCCAGCATTTGTTATTGGTTGATTTCCTAATGCTAGCCATTCTTAGTGGGGTAAGGTGGAAATCTCAGTGTTGTTTTAATTTGCATTTCTCGAATGACTAATGATGTTGAACATTTTCTCATATATTTATTTACCATTTGTATCTCCTTGTCTGAGAAGTGTGTTTTCATCTCCACTGCCCATTTTTG